CCCGCCGGGGGTAGGGCCTCCTCAGGATAGGCTCCACCTTCCTCAGTTCTTACAGACGCCACAAGGGGCACAGGAGGGGCTGGGAAGGGGCTGGTGCCACCCACCAATGCCGCACTGGAGACACACCGAGGGTGCCTTCCCTTCGATGCTCTCACAGCGGGGCTCCTTTCAAAATGCTTCACAAGTAACAGAGCCTCCATCCTCACAACAACCCAATGAGCAAGGTACTAGTATTATCCCCATTTCACAGAGGAGAAAACCGAGGCCCAAATAAACACACTCCATACCTGATGCACTCTTAAAACAGCCACACACACACACACACACACACACGAACCCCACATTCTTTCACCCGCCTACTCGGTACAGAGGCAGGAGGACTGTGGACTGGGGGGAGGGGGGACAACACCGGAGGCCGTGCTGCCCAGGGGCTTGGGAAACCCTGCTGGGGAGGAGGAGGCAGTGTGGCCCAGGCAGATGGCCAGGAGGGATGCAAACCTGGGCTGGGATTTTCCCAGAGCCAAGGGCAGCCTTGGGTCAGCCTTGTCTCACAGTCTGCTCCTCTGCCCCCAGCACTCGGCCTCAGCCCCTGGGGCTGTTCTTTGTGACCCAGCTCCCCCAGGGGATGAAATCTGTTTAGTTTTCAAGACTTCTGTGCAATGGCTGAAGACCCCCTTGACCAGGACAGGCTGTTTTTCAGAGCTGGAGGCACCAGAGGTGCAGAGCCAGCAGGCTATCAAAGCAGGTGCATCTTGCTTCTTGGGGTTCCTCCATGGGCCTGGTACTGTCTCCTCCACGCTGGTAGTCTGGGCCTGTGGCCTCACATCTTGGACATAGAAACAGGACAGTCTTCCCACAGCTTTGTACACACACACCCAGCTCTCACAGCCTGGCACTCACTCTTGGTCTCATCACACAAACCAGGCTGTTCCTTCATGGTCTTTACACATGGATAGGCCTGCCCCTCATGGCCTTGCATACAGACAGGCCTGTCCCCTCATGGCCCTGTGTACATATAAACAGGCCTGCCTCTCATGGCCTTGTTCACAGACAGGCCTGTCCCCTCACAGCCCTGTGTACACATAGGCCTGTCTGCTTATGGCCTTGCACACAGATAGGCCTGTCCCCTCACAGCCCTGTGTACACATAGGCCTGTCTGCTTATGGTCTTGCACACAGACAGGCCTGTCTCCACAGGACCTGGCCTCTAAGGTACATCTCTGAGTCAGAAATAAGGCCTCATTAACGCTGTACAACTGTTTATGCTTCCATACCCTCGGGAATTGGCCTCAGGGGCTAAACCACCCAAACCAAACAGGGCTGGCCTCCCCAAGGAGCCTCGGGACACTGTGCCCTGCTCCATTGCATGCTGGGAGTGCTGGAGCTGCCATCACGCTGCCCAGAGTAACCTCGTCCCACCCTCCTTCCTTGTACCAGAGATGGTGGTTATCCTGCAGAGCTTTGAGGTGGGAGGGCAGGAGGCTGAGAGGAAGAGCAGAGCTGCTCAGAGAGAGGGGGGCCAGGGAAGGGGGGTTCTGGGGGCTGAGACATTGTGGGTCACACACCACTTCCCCTTCAGGCTGGCTTTGGGCAAGTGACACAAATGTCCTCACACTGAGACAAGATGATGCTCAAAGCATAGTGCCCCAAGCTGAGAAAATGCCCAGAATGGCCTGTGACTGTAGGTGAAGGCAGGTGACGGCAGGTGAACACACTGGAATTCAGAGCTGCAGCCATTAAGACAGAGGGGTTACCAGGACAAGAATATTATACAGCTATTTTCTTTATTCACAACACAGTGTGAGGTAGATGCCACAGCAGTGTTTCTCAACCTTTTTGTGTTACTGTCCCTGTAAGGAGCCCTTTTAGACATTCCCACACTCCATATGCCCTCCTGCCTTTGAAATTAAATACTAAAAAATAAGATTTTGTTGAACAGAGCTGAACTTTGGAGGGCCACGAGCTACTGTAGTAACTTAAGGTTTTTAAAGCCCCAAACAACCAATTCTGGCCTCCTGGGGGCAATGCCACCCCTTGTTGAGAATGCTCTAGACGAGATACCAGTACTTCTTGATAAAAACTAACCAATGGGAACACAGTATTTAAGAAGTAACATTCTTTACAAGTGGAAGAATGTATGCTCTGTGTGAACTGCAGCTACAACATGCAAATACATATTGGTGTAGGGAGGAAAAGACAAAACAACCTTTGGGAAATTTAAAAACTGAAACTGAAGTAGGATTTCTAAAGTCCTTAATTTTGATGTTCTATTGATTTTATTTTTTAGTTAAAGATATAGAAAAGGAAGAAAGAAAAAACCCAAAAACGGTTGATTGTGAAAATGAAGGAAAGAGTGGCTGCATGCAGAGAAGTGGCTGCAGAGTCCAAAGCTCAGAATCAGCCCCACTGGATTAAGTGTTCAGGCATCTGCTGGACAGACGGACAGATCTGCACTGAAATCTGCTGTGTGACTATGGGCAGATCACTACACCTCTCTGAGCCTTGGCTCCTTCATTTGCTGAATGACAACAGCACCCAGGAGAGCATCCAGCCATGCTTGGCACATTGTAGGAACTCAGTAACGGCATCTGAATTAATGAATACGTGCTAGAATCTATGCAGACCACAAGGCTAGTAAGCTACAGAGCCTGGATTTGAATCCAGGTCTCTTAAGTTCATTTTGCTAGCCAGCACCTGTTTCTTTGCCATTTTAAAAGGAAGGAGAACATGGCTTCTCCAGTCTCACCAAAACTGGGTGGCAAAGAGCCACAGGAATGAAACCAAGTTGCTGACACTGAGACACACTGCCACCTGGTGGCAGCATACCTGAAGTATTGGGGGGAGGGGAGGAGGGGGGGAGCAGGGGCAACTGTCAACGGGAACAACCAGTATCTTACACATGCCCAAGACACAGTCAAACGCTTACACAGTGAGAACAGAAGTCATCGTCTACCACCACCTGGCAGGAGGGGCCACACTGCCAGATGCTTGCTGGCTCCTTGACACCTGACTTGGGTTTCCTGGATACTTTCTTTCTTTTTTTCTTCTTTTTTTTAAAAAAAATAAATTTAACTGATTAAACTTAATAACCATAAATAAACCAAACACTACCAATTGAGTGCAGAACTTCATGGGAACTGCTAGAAGCCTGTACTCGTTCAATCAATTATCTGAACCTCACGTGCCATCCTTGACGTTTGAATGTGTCCATTTCAAGCTGCCGCTTTCAGATCATCTTTCTAGCCGGTCAGTCTCCTGAAATCCAGCTTTCTGTGCCCACCACCTCATTCATCTCTTGTAGCTGCATAACATTCACAAATTTCACAAGCTCTGCCCTTCAGATGTTAGCATAAATCACTGTTGAAAAATATGCTGAGCAGGGCAGGGCAGAAAGCAGAGCTCTGTGGAACACACTATAGACAGCCTCTCCCTCAACATTGATCTTGGCCACCTTTTCAATGAGGTGTTTTCCCAGCCTGTCAGGTAGGCTGTCTGTCTCTAAGTACTCTCTGCCCTGTCCTGAGCTAACAAAAAGCAAGGCAATCACTCGGTGAGGGCTCACATGGAAAACACGCATAGAGAATAAAGAGGGGGAGACTGGCCGTTAAATGGCCTCCTCCTTCAGGGAACCCCCCCCACCCCCGACCACCCCCATCTTCTCTCCCTCTCACCTGTTCTGGCAATGAACTCCCATGGCCCCCATAGGTCCTAAAGCTTGCCCTGCCTGTCCTGGGACACAGCCGCAGAGAGCCAGGCCTTAGAGACACTCCCTGGGAAGTCGAGCTCTCAGCAGTACCTGTTGCCTCTGCGAGCAGGCATGCACCACCTTTCCTTTTCAGCCGCCACCCAGTGCTTCCCACTACATTCAGACACCTCCAGGTATGGGGGAAATGTAGGTTGGAGCCCTGCCTCACGGCCTCTAACTATGGGAGCTGGGCTCCAGTCTAGCCTCACCTTTCCCATACATGAAATGGAAGCAGTGATAGTAACCAGCCGTGTAAGGCTGAGGCCAGGGTGAAATGGACAGGCTGGGCTTAGCTGCAAGTTCCTGGCACACAGTTGGTGCTCAATAAATGCCGGTCCTTTCCCTAAGCAGCCCCAACGTGGAGACATGCTCAGCCTCTGAGACTGCCCTATAGGCAACCAGGCGAGAGGACCTGCAGCTGTCCGGGCAACGGAGAGGAGGGGCCCTCTTTGGGAGCAGGAATGTAATTTTCCGGGGTTGTGTTTCCGTCCTCCGCCTGGCTGTGACGACAGCCCCTCCAGAGGCACGAGAGGAATTCTGAGTGTTCCCTTGGTCATTCCAAGATGGCACATGGCCTTCAACCCTGCACCAGGCCAGCCATTCACCCTCGTGGCTCTCCAGCTTACAGTACAACTGAAGCTCAGGGCATGCGCCGGTCATTCCAGCCATTCCCTGCTGCCTCCGCCCTTGTGGCCATCACAGCTTGTTCTAAACTAAAAGATCAGAAGATGGGAGGGCCAGGGAGGCGGGGCACGAGGGGAAGCTGCCTGAGCCAACGCAGGACAGCAGGACGTGGACTCCCCGGAGGGTTGGGAGGACCCTCCTCAGCAGCTCAGGTCCCTGGGTCTTGAAAGTGACCAGGAGAGGAGGAACTTCCCTTATGTGCTGGAAGGTTCTGGGCCACCCTAAGCCCAGCTCGAACTGGGAAATCAGGCCAAAGAACCAGGCAACTGAAGTGAAGAATTCCTTATGGAAACACAGCTGGGCTTCTGAATGTCGGATAAATTTTGCTTTGGTGCCACTTTTGGAAGTTATTTCAAGACAGAATCTCGAGCCCGGAAGTCCTGCCTTCCCCAGCCCTGTTCTGAGAGCAAGAGGTCCTGCATCCCTTTGTAAGGCAATGAGCAAAGCCCAGGGCCCACGGGGCAGGGGAGAGCAAGAGATCTCCACCTTCATGCCGCTGGGTACAGACCAACGTTGAGCCGTGCCCAGAACAGAGGCGGCCGCCTCGAACGAGCAGCCACGTCAGGACTTACCTTCCACTGCAGAGAATGGAACCACTGGTCCCGCAGGTAGCTGTTGGCAGCCTGCAACGACAAGAACAGGACAGCAAGGTCCGGTCACACACTTGTAGCATTTCAGAGAGTTTTACAGGCCAGCACACGAGCCCAGCCTGTCTGTCCAACAGGGTCTGCTCTGTGGTCCTAACACCTTTAGAGGGACTCACCAAGCTGAGCCCTTCGGGTACAAAACCACAATAGAAGTGATAAGCAGGGTGACTTTTCTGAAATAAGACCTCACTGCCATTGTATGCTATTTTACTGGGTAGGAGTGACCTCAGACACTGGTGGCTGGGAGAGCTTTAACTGCACCTGTATCCTGACCTATTTAGGATCATGGGACGGGCCCAGATGAAGGGGAAAGCAGCATGGTCGTGGGATGATGATGGTGGGAGCTGTTTGGGTACCTCCTTTGTATCAAGCACTGCTCAGGCACCTGGTGGTTATTACCCACATATTCCGTCCTCAGCCTGCACAACAGCTCTGCCAGGTGAGTGACACATGCCCATTTCACAGAGGGAAAACTGAGACCCTAAGATCTTACATCAACTAAGCAGCTTGTCTTCCAAGCCTGTGGGTTGAACCACTGTATCTCCTGCCAACTGTAGAAAGTCACAGGAGAAAGCAGCCGGCCAGCTTTGAACTCGGGCAGACCTGAGTTAGAAATGACTGTGTGGAGAGCAAAACCTTCTTTTATCCACACCACCCTAGTCCAGAGACCCTAGGCAGCTCAGCCTCGATTTTCTCATCTGTAAAGATCCACGCACCCACAGAAATGTCAGGAGGTCTGAGACGGATTCCTGTAAAGCATCTAGAAGCACGCTGGGCTCACAGCAGGTGGTCAAACAGAAATGCACCCACTGTTATTATTATCATCACCATCATAGACTCCTCTCAAATTAAATGTGGCCTGAAGATGGCCCTGTGGACTCTAGGACGTGTTGCTGCTGCTCTCACCCTGTTTCCAGCAGGTTTGCTGATGGTGAAAGCAGCATTTGTGGCATAGTTAATGCACGCCAGACCCAGGTAAGCCCTATGTGTGGACTGGCTCATTCAGTTCTTTCAAGTCTATCCCGAGAAACTGGTACTGTCAGCAGCTCATTCCTACGGTACAGATGAGGAGACTGAGGCTCGGAAGCCTATAGACTCTCCCACGGGCTCACAGGCAGCCAGTGTGGGGCCAGGACTAGAAGTCAGGTGGTTGGATTCACGCTGTGAATCACAATATTATGGCAGTCCAAGTTCTCCACTGACCACCCCTAAGGGAAGAAATGCAGCATCCAGTCCCACGTGACCCCACAGCTCTGCACCAAGTGACCCTGATGGTTAAGGGACTCTCACAAAGGCCAGGGCCTCCTTCTAAACATGAAAGTCCACCTTTTGCCCATCCCACTCCCAGGTGCATGCACAGCATGTAAACTTTGGGTCTCTCTCTGTCAAGGAGATCCAGGTCTCCCCACCTCCTCACCCTAATCACCATGGAAACATCAGCTCTGTCAGGGCAGAATTTGGGGAAATCTCTGGGCTTGAATAAATGAACCAGTCCAGTGGCCAGTGCAGTGGGGAATCAGGCTCAGAGACTCGTTCATACCACACCTGGAGGCAAGGTGAGTTGAATCTGCCCTGCACGGGGAGCAGACCGGGGTTCACCTGTGTGATGCAGGGACTTCTGTGGTAGCTGAGTCTCCAACAGACCTGGGTCAAGTCTGGGCTCTACCATAGTCTATTTGTGTGACTGGAGCAAGTCCCCTGATGACACAAAGGCTGTGACAAAGGCGAGTCTGCTGCAGGGACCAGCAGTAGCCCGAAGGGTCTGCGCTGGGTCACCTGTCAGTGCTGACCCAGCTCTGTGGTCTCATGACAACACTTGTTCATTAGGATGATGGACTACATCCCATGCTCAGGGACAGCGGCGCCAAGATCCCAAGCACGAGAAAATCTATGTAAAACACTTACTTAGTGCAGTGCCCAGCATGTGCAAACACTCTACAGAGAGCAGCGATCAGTATCAGTGACAGCTGTGGCCAGTGGTGTGCTGATAAATGTGTAACAACAGGCTCCCCGGGATAAACAAAACACAACACACCACAGTGATCACAGTGTCTGCTGACTTCCATGCCGTGAGTGATGCCACCGTGGCTGATTCTGTCCCTAGACCAGAACTGGAAAGAGAGGCACAGGATCGGCTCTCAGGAGTCGGTATCAGATGGTACGAGTGGCTCCAGCATGCTCCTGGTCCACAGCCATTTTTCTGCCTTTTAACACACCATAGTGGCCAGAGAAGGGAGCAGAGAAGGTGAGGTAGGCCAAATAAAGAACCCCCAAAGACTGTTTGCATCCTAACCCCTATGAATATGACATCTTAGGGGGCCAAGGAGCTTTGCAAATGTGATTTAGTTAAGGATCTTGAGGTGGGGAGGCCATTCTGGATTATCTGAGTGAGCCACAAGGGTCCTTATGACAGGGAGGCGGGAGGTCAGGGAGTCACAGATGGAAGTAGAGGTTGGAGTGATGTGGCCACGAACCAAGGGATGCGGGTGGCCGCTAGAAGCTGGAAATGGCAAAGGAACGGATTCTCCTCTAGAGCTTCCAGAAGGAGCCAGCCCTGCCAACACCTTGATTTTAGCCCCGTGGGACACATATTGGACTTCCGGCCTCCAGAACCGTGGACAATAAATTTGTGTTGCTTTATCTACTAAATGTGTGGTCATCTGTCACAGCAGCAGTAGGAAATGAACCTGGGAGGTATGGCCAAGTTGGTTTAGTGTTGATGTGGGTCATTCATTGGTTCTGAGGGTCCACAGAAGGCCAAGGCAATGCTCAAAAGGTGTTGTTGGCTGGACTAAATGACCAAGTGAAGACAAAAAGAGAGAATTAGAGAGGAAGATGGAGGAGAGGGAGAAGGAAAGGGACCCTCGCCCCTCCCTCTTCTGTGCCACTGGCCCCACCATCTACTACCTGCCACTGCCTGCACTGTGCCCTTGTTTGTTACACGGTTTGTGTGCAACCAGCCCTGATGGTACCTGGTACTGCTAATCAGTGCTGGGAACTGGGGAGCTCATAGTCCACTCATCAGTCATTCATTCAGCAGGTCTTGCTTGGTCACCTGATAACCAGATGGTGTGAGCTCTACCAGCCAAGCTTCCAGCTGACACACCGTGGACAGGCAGCATGAGTGAGAAATAATCCTTTGCTGTCTTAAGCCACTTAGAATTTGGGGCTGCTTGTCCCTGTAGCATAACCTGGCTTGTTTTGTTTTGTTGTATGGCTTTTACATAGAATGTACACCCCATCACCATTCCGCCCTCACCCCTCCCTCGCTGCCTACTGAATTACTTACACTTCAGGTCTCACCTGAAATGCCATTCTCCAGAATACCTGTCTTCATGGTGACTTGCCCCTCCCCATTCTTGACCCATCAGGTGATGGCACCTAATCTAATATATCGCACTATCCTGCGGTTGCTTGTTTCTTTGTTCTTCTTCCTCTCCAGGCTGTGGGCTCTGTGAGGTCAAGGACCATGTCTGACTTATTCACCACTATGTCCACAAAACTCAGAGAAATCTTTGTTAAATGAAAGCATGGTTAGATAGGTAGATAGATAAATAGATAGATACATGGGTGGGTGGATGAGTGGATAGATGGATGGATGAATAAATGGATGGTGGGTAGATGGATAGATGAATGGATGGACAAATAAATGGATGGGTGGGTGGATGGATGAATGAATGGATAAATCACCACTATACCCATTCTGCTCATTAAAAAAATGTCATATGTAATAGAATTTCAAACAAACTATTCAGCCTTGATATCCCAAGCCAAATTTGACTAAGGCTCTAGAAATAATCATGGCAGCCTTTTTCCTGCACACCTACTGTGTATCAGGTACAGTGCTAAGTATTTCACATGTAATATTGAGAATCCTTATGACATCCAGGGTCCAGTTCACAGACAATTTAAATGCCCAGAGAGGTGATTCCTGCTGTCCAAGGTTACACAGGTAGAGCATGTAGAGCTGAGCTGGGACTCAGGTCTGTCTGACCCCATAGCCCACTTTTCCTCCTGTTCACCCCAACATGAGAGAGAGTGCCACACCTCGGCTCCATTGGGCTCTAGGAATTGGGCTGAGAAATCTGAATCTATTATGCTGATGAGAGGGAGGAAGAAGGATTTGGCACCTGTTCCAATCAACAGGAGGCCCCACCTGGCAAACAAGAGGGTGGGGCCATAACTTTCCTCCAGATGGTAGCGTGGGGTGCAGCCACTGCCTCCTCATGCTACTTCCCCTCTCGCCGAAGGAGTCAGAGGTTGCAACAAGGGTGGGCTGTGAACTGCTTTTTCCTGCGGGTTGTCTAGTGTTAAAGAGACAGAGGCTGCTGGGGGACGTCCGGAGCTGCTGTGCAGGCATCTCTAAGTGCCTGCCGGGGGCAGGGAGAGAGGACTGGGCTGTGCCTGGCCTGGAGGAGAGGGCGAGTTTCTGCACAGAGTCCCAATACTGCAGTGTGGGCGGGTGAGCTGGGACGACCCAGACCTCTGGGACCTGAGGCTCAGCTCAGAGTCCTGAGGTCACTCAGAGGAGACTGATTCAGGCATGGGAAGGAGGTCCTAGGAGAGGCAGGCCTGCTCAGGCCAGTGCCAACTGCTCCCAGTGATAAATCTCTCGAATACTGAAAGGCCCCATTCCAGGCAAATTCTGCTTAATTTCCTCTTCGAAAGTTGCCAAGTTCTCTCTCATTGTTGCATTGTCTCAAGAGGTGAGAAAAACAGCCAAGGGTGCACTGGGGTGGCTGTTCCCAAGTCCTCCTTCCCCGGCCCAACTTCTTAGGGAAAAAACAGCACGTGATCACCAGACCGGAAAGGTCTTTCTCTCCAGCTTCCAGTAAGAAGGGAACCGCCCTGCCCCTGCCCCTGCCCCTGCCCCTGCTGCCAGTGTTTGGGGTAAACAGTTGCCCGGCCTCCTGGGGACTTTCCGGAAAGTCTGTGAGAGGAGCAGGTCTCGGAAACCCTTCGGGAAGGAAGCCCACGCTCTCGGGGAAGAAGGTTCTCCTTGGTCTTGGCCGCCCCAGCCTTGTTCTCAGAGCAGTGGGCCCTGGCCACTTCTCACGGATACGCGGAAACCCAGCTGCGAGGCAGAAATCCCAGAAGATGGTCTGCCCCACCCGGCTCTCTAACGCCACCCGCCCCGTGGGCCGCACCCCTTGGGTGCTGTCAGGGCACCGGTTATGTGCTTCAGCAGCTCCCTCCTCACAGTGGAAAACAGCAGAAAGGGCACCGAGGAGAGAAGATAAACAGGTCCCTTCTGCACCAGGGATCCTAATGACATGGCATTAGGGAGCTCACGCTGGAAATCACAGAGCACCCAGAAGCACACCAACTGGACCCAGGCTGGAAGGCTGGCGCCTCTGTGTGGGATGCAGCCTGCTGCTGGCAGACTGCTTGGCATCGCCGAGCCGGGGAGGAGGCACATTTGCCTAAGAGCGTCTCTTAACCTTCCTTGAACTCAGATAGGTCAGCTCCCCGAGGTCCGAGTGAGACACGGATTCAAATTCCGACAAAGCAGCTTTGTAAGGAGGTCCCATGAGAGAGGGACAGAGAGCAGAGGAAGGAATGGAGAGAGGAGAGAGATACAAAGAGAGTAAAGTCAAGATGCCCAGAGAGAAGGGCTGGGGTAGAGAGAGGCGCCTGGGGAAAGATACCAGAAAAAAAGAAACTGCAAGGTGGTGAAATGGAGCAAGTGATAAAGAAAGAGAGAAGGGGTAGGGAGGGAGACATGGAGAAAAGTATCAGAGAGACAGACAGAGGAAAAACGGACACACATGGATACAGAGAGCCTGAGAAAGGGGAGGGGGGAGAGACACCAGGCAGGCGAGGGTAGGGACCCTGACATCGCCACTATGCAGAGCTTCATGCCACATGCAGCAGGAGGGACCCTGAGACACTGCAGACCCGCCTGCACGCTGAGGCTAGTCCCCCTGGGAGCGGCCCAGTGCATGAAGCATGAGTCCAAAGGAAAAGTTCTACGGTCCAGCCTGTCACCAAAACTGTGGCTGGTGATGGCAATGTTCTTGATCTGCCCTGTCTAATACAGTAGCCACTGACTCCATGTGGCTATTGAGCACTCGAAATGTGTCTAGTGGATCAAGGAGCTGCATTCTTACTTTAATTAAATTTAAATGCAGAGGATCCTGTGTGGTGAGTGGCATCTGAAGGGACAGCGCCGCTCAAGGCATTGTCATCCTCTGATGACCCGAGCACCCATGAAGCTCTCCAGGCCAGCCTTGCCCTGAGCACCCCTGGCTGCTTCTGGGCGTCCCTTCCACCCGGAGCAGGGAAGACTGCTCGGTCACACCGTGGCTCTGGGCCCTGTCACCTAAACGGACCCACTGACGGCCACAACGCAGGTGAGGAGGGTCCTGCCCGTACCTCGGGCCCACCACCCTGGGGCTCCAGGGGCTCCCAGGCTCCCCGTAACCACTTGGACCCCTCCACCGGAAGCCTATCTTCAAGATGACTCAGAACCCATTTATATAACATGATGGCCACACACCACCGTGAATCATGGGAGGGAGGGCAGGAGGGTGACAATAACAAGGAAGCAAGGTAGCAGCCGATAGAAATGACAGTGAGAGAGACCAAGGCAGGCAAAGGCGAGGTGCACCCACCTGGGCTCCCCTGGGTGACAGGGTGGAGGCTGTGCCTGCTTCCCCGTCCTAGCCGAGTCCAGCTCTGGATCCCAGGAGCTGCTGGCCGCCTCCTTCTCCTCCCCCTGCTCTCCTGCTCCAGCCTCTGGCCACTGGGCTGCGCCGACTGTTCTGTCCACTGCAGCAGGGGGCAGTGAGCAAGGAGGATGCGGGAGCAGCCACAGGCCCGCCCGTCTGTCAGCACAGTGGGAGAGCTCTGCGTGAGGCCACTGCCGGGTGCAGCCTCAGCCAGGCAAGTCATCATAGCCGGCCTGCAGCCACAACCTCAGTTAAAGGGATATTCCAGGCACTGCACAGTGAGCCACACTCATCCAGACCTCACTGCCCCTCTACGCCCAGGGCAAGTGACACTCAGGGACTTCCTTGGGGGGTACTGTTGCCCCTTCCAGCTCCAGAAGCGATGATGCCTCCTGCTGCTCCACTACACCCAGGGCGCTGGGGTTCAGGGCCTCCTTTCTCTAGCTGGACTATTTAAAGGTTTTCCCCTCTCCAGCCTCCCCCTTACACTCACATATCCAGCCCCCTCTGCCATGCAATGGATAAGAGCCCTCTATTGGGCCCCCTTACTCCTTAGGAGCTTGCAATGGCTCCCTATTGCCCCCAGAATATAGCCACAGCTTCTTCACTCAGTAAGTCATATATGATCTGGCTGTGGCCAAACAGCTGTAGATGCATCCATAGGGCTCTGAACCCTACTCCTCCCCTCTCTTGCAAGGCAGCTAATACCCCCGTACCCTAAATTCATGCTTTGCTGAGTTCCCTCTGCCCAGTGAGCGTGCCCCCCATCCTGGCACACTCCTACTCATCCCTCAGTGCCCAGCTCTAATGTCACCATCCAGGAAGCTTTCTCTGATACCTCTAGGCTGAGTGAGTCACTCCCTGCTCAGGGATCCTAGGCCTCCGGGAAGTGCCTCTATTTTAGCTATTATCTCTACAGTCATTTGTTTATGGCTCTGTCTCCCCAGAGGGCCTCTGAGTTCTTCAAGGATGGGGCCAAGAGGCTTACTGGCCTTCCTCTCCCTCCCCTAGCCCGGGGGACAGGCCAGCTCAGCGCTCTGTGATTCAAATGGGATTTCCAGCCCCCATCTTCTCCCAGATTTCCATGGAACCCTGCTATGACCTTCCTCCTCTTCCACTGCTGCTCTTCCCAGCCAAGGGTGCTGGAACTGACCCCCTCTTTCCTAGACGCAACAGAAAGGCAGGCCTGGCTTTGGTGTCCTCTAAGAGATAATAGTAAAGAACAGAATTTTTCTAAGGATGTTCAACTGTTAACTCATCTGATTGAGCTCAGCATTCCTCAGGGGCCTAACTGCATCGTGCCTTTTGGCTCCACTATTGTTACGCAACCCAGTGGCCACTGATGAATTGGGTTTTAGGGAGCATCTCTTTGGCTCAGAGCTGGTCTCACTGGAGTGACAGAGTTAGAAAGAAAACGCCCCTAAAAGAACAGCCGAGGCAGACTGTTCTCCCAAAGAAGAGAGAGTGCACTCTCTCTAAATGAGGGCTGCTGACTTGGAAACTGGGTATAGCTCTCTCTGAAATGATAGAGAACACGTCACATGTATGTCACAGGTACGTACGGCAGCAGCCATGTTATCTTTTTTCTGCCACAATTTCTTTTTTGGTGGACCCACCTCTCCTGGTCCACGAGGTCCTGTAGGGCTATTAGAGTGCACAGCTGGGTGGGTGTGTAATCCAGGCAGGGCATTCCCTGGGGAACATGGGGTGTGTAATCCAGGCAGGGCATTCCCTGGGGAACATGGGGCTATAGCAGAACCAATCAGAACCATCCCTGAGCTTTAACAGAAAGATGCTGGAGGGAAATGGGCTTTCACATTTTTAAGGATGACAAGCTCCAAGAATGTAACTTGAGGCTGCCAGAATTCCACTTTTCCCAACACATGGAGAGACACTGCCCGACAATGAAGCCAACAGAATGAAGCAGAGCCAAGAGATGGACAGACGGAGACACTGAGAATTAATGATATCATTTAACTCCTGGATGCAGCTATGTCTGAAGTCCTCTCTTAGACATGACGGCCAAGTTACTTTAAAACAGTTACAGCAACATCAACTTCTCTTTTTCCTCAAATAGTCTGAATATGGTTTGCAACATTTCCAACAAACAGTCCTGACCAACACATACAAAATGCTCACTTTTCCAAGGGTGCGGCTCATACTTCTATCAGAGTCTCAAAATATTTAGATCAACAAGAAACAAGAAACCACCTCAGTCAAAGTAGAACAAAAGGTAATACCTGCAGCTTACTTGCTTTTTACAGCCTTTTAAGGCCTAACAGTGGCCCGTGTGCCTCTGTTTCCTCATCTGTGAAATGGAGAGCAGCAAACCTATTTTTCAGGTTTGCTAAGAGAAATACAGTGGGGCCTTGACTTACGAGTTTAATTCGTTCGGAGACCGAGCTCGTTAAGGAGCTCGTTAACTCAAATTACTCTATCAACTCAATGCAAAAAATCAGCCGAGAGACAGCTGGTATCTCAAAAAACTCGTTAGTCGGGACACTCGTAAGTCAAGGCCCCACTGTAAAAGTACAATGCATAAAGCTCCTAGACTGTGGCAAGCATGTAGTTGGAGCTCAAACTGCGTGCATTCCCTCTCTCCCCCCCTCCCCCCCAGTAAGCCCTGGTTTGTAATTTTCTTGTACTTGGAGAAAAAAAACGCCTTAAGTTAAACAACCTTCCCTTCTGATAGTTGGCTGTCTCCCTCCAAGGGAAAAGAGGAGGGCGAGTGAGTGGGGCTGGGAGAGGAAACTGCTTGTTCATGTTTATTTCTCCTACCTGCAGTAAGACAGTTCCCCCAGGAATTGTGAGCTGTAAACAGTACTTCGGGGCATTCTCCCAGGACAGCAGCTGAACGTCTTCAATAGCGCTGTAGGAGACGGAGTTTTCCATGTACCCAGTTGGCTGCAGCAAAAACAAAAGAGAAAGACATGCATTGGTTACAAGATCAGGCACAACGTCTGAGGCTCAGGAGAAGGTTCTGGAAAATATCCCCATGGTGGCAACAAGCAAACCTAGCTGGTACAGACACCTGGAACCTCTAGGGACAAAGGAACTCCATCTTTCCTAGCTGGCAGCGTCCAGCTGGAGGGCAGGAGCCATAGGGGAAACTCGCCCGTGTGTTTGTCTGGGTGTAGTTGGGACTAGACTGGGGGCACCTTGAGGGCAAGGCCTGTGCATTGTTCCTCTTGGCACGGCAGGGCGCAGCATAGCGGAGCCACCACCCTCTCCTGCCCAGAGAGCAGTCACAGCCCACCACTGGTCTCCCTGCCTCCTCTTTTCCCACAGATGTGCCTTCTCCACTCAGTACCCAGGGCCATGTGCCCCATGGGCAAATCAATCCCCCTACTCTCCTGCTCAGCATCCTTCCTCGGCTCCCAGTGGTCAGACCAGGAAACCAATGTTCCCATCCTCCACTGACAAGCCCGCAGGTCTGGTCTCACTTCCTCCTCCAGACCCACCATGTGTCTTCTCTCCCTTTCCCGGCTCCCACAGAGGCCTGCTGCCAGCTCTTACCGGCTTTCTCCCAGAAAGGCCGCGGCCCCACCCTGTCACTCTCCTCTTCTACTCGCCAGGCCTCAGTTCAACAGGCTTCTGGGGAGAGCCTGCGATCCTCCGGACCCCAGAGCCGACCTGATCACACCTGGCCTGAGCCCTCCATGCTCACCACACCCGGGTTAACTACTGTGGACTGATACCGTCTGTTATCTAGTTGATGTCTGCCTCCTGGCCAGGCGGTAGTTCAGGCCCGAGTCTGTCTTAGTGCCTGCTCTCTCTCCCCAGTGCCTGGCACATGGCAAGCATGCAACAACTTGTGTTTATAGAAAGAACGATAAAGGGCATCATCCATCAACACTGGAATGAGGGTGGGACAAGAGACAGTCACAGTCGCTCACTGCTCTCTGAGTGAGCTCTGCTATCACAGAGAGAAGGCACCCGGGGTCAGGTGGATGAACGAGCACTGGGTACTCGCGATTTTCTTGTCCCTCTGGCCCCCAGGAAGCCAGACTTCAGCACAGTCAGAGGTGAGTATAGCACAGCGGAGAATAACAGCTCACATCTCCCAAACGCTGACATGCACCAAGCACTCCTGGGCACATGGCAAGTGCTGTCTCCTTTAATCCTCACCACGGTCCCATGGAGCAGGTGCAGGGCCATCCCCATTGCACAGATGAGAAAGCTGAGGCTGAGGCTGAGGCAGACACATGACTTGCCAAAGGCCACCCAGCTGGGGAGGGGCGTGGCCAGCATTGAACTAAGCTGCTGACTTGGAATTGGCACCCTGCCTACTAAGCCATACTGCAACCAAGGGTCAGGTGCAATTTAAAATGTGTGACTTAACAAATTAATTTTACCAGGAGGATTAAGGACCTCCATGAGGTTTTTAAATTTCAATTTCTGTCTGACAAAGTTGAGATATGATGGTGGTGGTGAAGGCGGAGAAGGTTCAAGGCTCAAGCTGCCTCAAATCTCTCCGATTATCAGTCACCAGGCTCTGGAAGAGTGATTGGTCAGTTGATTTGTTCATTCATTTGTTCACTCATCCATTCGTTTGTTCATCTGACAGATATTGAGCACCTATGATGTTCCAGGCCCCATACGGGGTTGCTGGGAATACAGCAGTGAATGAGACAGGAGCCCAGTGGGGCAAAGAGACAACAAACAAACACAATTCCCAAATAAATAAACTATTGAGGAGCAACAGTGCGGCACCAAGAATCAAAAGAGGGTACGGCGAGAACTGGAGCACTGTGGAAAGATGGAGGGAAAGTACATCCCAGAGCCCAGGGCCAGTACAAAGGGCCCAGAGGCAGCCACAGGCTGGGAGAGTTCAGGGGGGAGCCAAAAGGCAAAGGGAGGGAGGGCTCGGTAAGAAGTGCCCTGGAGAGATGGCCGGCCACTGCAGGGGGCCTGGAAAGTGAAGCTGGGGTCCGGGATCACTCCCCTGGAGTGGAGCGCTGCAGGCGCTTTAGGCACGGTTCATAGCATCATAGCATCGCTGGGACTGCTGCAGAAGAACAAGCGCAGGAGCAGTGTGCGGAAGCAGGGAGGAACCGCCTGGAGGCTGCTGCACAGGCCCAGGTGAGTGTCTGGGCTGCTCAGACCCCACGGGGAGACGGCCAAGTTCATCCTGCGGTTCTCACCAACACATGGCCCACCCTGGGGCAGCAATCCAGGGGCCACGTGGCTGCGTACCCCAAAGGCAAACCTGGGATCCCCCCTCACCCTCTGCCCTATTCCAGCATTCCCTGCATGATGATGTTTTCAATATTCTGCAGTAAATGATTCAGCCCACAGCACATCTTGTCCCGACAGTATCAGTGAAACCAGGGTGTGGGGTTGGCTACATGCTCACTTCCAAACCCACATTCCAATATGTATTGTTTGTTGCTGTCTGCCCCCCTGCCAGTGTTTCAGCACCACGAGAGCAGGAATTCTCACCTGTCCCAGGTACTTACACAGAGCCTGGCACTGAGGAGGTGATTACTTTCTTAATAAATGAAGGAATAGTTTCCTAAATAAAAAGCTCATCCAAGTATTACTTTCAATCACTACACATAACACACTTGGGAAGATGCTTTTTTGGTTATTATTTTTTAAATTAAAAATAATTAATAATCTTTTTAAAAATCAGCTTTAGGAAGCCATGACACCTGTGTGCCCGGATGCGCCAAAGGCCTTCCCACCTCCCTCCCATCTGCACGTCTCTCCCTCTTCAAGGTCCAGTCGGCCTTCAAACCCCGCCCACTGACCCCTCGATACGCACAGAGGCCAGAGGACATGGGCTAAGACGTGGCCCTAGTGCATCTGGAAAACCGCTGCACCACATCGAACAACACAAAGAAATAAAAACCCACTCCGAAATCCCAGCAAGGGGACAGCGTGACCATACCGAGTTGGACTTGATTATCCAAACCAAGTGAATGGCCAGCCTCGTTTCTTCAGAATCCCACTTTGGACACTAAGCAAAAGGCCTGGAGACTTCTATTTCCCACCACAGCCTCCTCAGAGACCCTGAGGCACGAGGGCCCACACCACGCCCGTGGCAACACACTCCAGATGACCACTACCGACAAGTGTGATCTTACATGAGGGAGGGCTTACTAACTGCCTCTGTCTGCCTTTCCCATGACCCTGCTTAGCTGTCTCAACGTGACCTTGATTTGAAGTTGCAACACAGGCAGGTTCTAGGGTGAAAGGTTGGGTATAAGTAAATACATACTGTTTTTTAATAGATGTATTGTTTTTCCATTGTTTGAAGCAGTGTTGGCTAAAAGCAAGATTTGCATAATCAACGAGACCTACGTTTGAGCCGCTTACTGTGTCTTTACATAAGTTACTGTACCTCTCTGAGCCTGTTTCCTATAATGGTAAAATGGGAACTTAATAGAATTATCAGGAGCCTTAAAGGAGATCCAATTTATCAAGGGCTTAGCATAGCATAAGGAACAAACAGAAAAGCTCAATAAAATCAACTATTATGAGAAAGACTACATTTTATCTCTTGGGGTCTTTCTCCTCCAAACCCATAATTCTTGATTTAACCATTAGAAAAACATCAGACAAAACCCAAATGAGGGACATTCCTCAGAACACCTGACCAGTACTCATCAAACACAAGGAAAGTCTGAGCAACTTTCCCAGACAAGAAAAGTACACAGAGACCCAATGACTAAGTGTACTGAGGGATCCCGGATGGGAGCTTGGGATAGAAATAGGACATTAGGTAAAAACTAAGGAAGTCGAATAAAATATAAGGGTTCATAATAGCATATGAAAACTGCTTCATTAGTTGTGACCAATGTTTCATGCTATTTTAAGATGTTCACAACAGGGAAAACGGGGTGTTGGGTGTATATGGGAACTCTCTGTACTGTCTTTGTAACTTTTCTATATATTTTAAACTGTTCTAAAATAAAATGCTTAGTAAGAAAAATTAACTGCTGTCACTACCTCTGTTGTCACTATCATCATCATCGACAGAGCCTAGACAGAGCCTACGAGGTCTGCCAGGGCAATGGGACACACGTGGCTCTATGGTGGAGGCACAAGCTGCTGCTGGCCAATGACGCCCTTCAGCGGAGGTACTTTCACACTCTTGGGAGGATTTTACAGGTAACTGGTAATTCCCTGGTAATCTGAACACGGTGGTCAGAGCTGCAGTGGACCAGATTCCTGTGCGGGGCGAAGGCTGAGTTAGACCGAAAAAAAAAATAAAATTCAATTCTCTTGGGGGAGCTGGGAAATGCAGTTCTAAAAAGTACTTTGAGGAGAACAATAAGCAGATTAAAAGTTATTTCTACATGTAAAAGCAATGCGAGACATACTGGGGTTCCGTTAAAGGACATCCCAGAATTAGCAAAACTACAGGGATGGAAATCAAACCCGCAGTCGCCAGTGGCTGGGACAGTGGAGGAGACTTTACAGAGGAGCATGAGGGCATGTTTGGGGGTGATTGAAATATTCTAGATCTCAATTGTGGTGTTACTTGACGGTATATGTTTGTCAAAACTCACAGATCCAAGCACTAAAATGGTAAATTTCCCTGAATGTAAATTACAACTAAGAAAGGCAATGAGTGAATATTCAAGATAACTTGTGAGATGATGAATAGAATGAAATCTTTCAGATAAAATCTTACTAAAATCACTCATTAGCACTTTGATATATTATCTTCCTGGTTATTTTTCATACATAATTATTTTTTACAGAGCCCAAGTCATACAGTATATATAATTTTGCACATCCCATATTCTGAATAATCTCCAGAACAGTCATCTTAGTGGCTATAACATATTCGGCCACCATTTATCACCACTCCCCCTCCTCCCCTATGGGAAGTGCGGTGGTTTCATTTTCTGCTACTCTAAACAACTCCACAGTGAACATCCTTATGAAACATGTTTTTCTACCCTATATTTAGGATTTTTTT